CCTAATGCAAGCTCTTATGCGTTTTAATAAATTTCTTTCGACGTTCTCCATTACTTCTTCGTCGATATCCCAAATAGCATGTTGTAATCTTGTCTCTAGCTCTTCGGTATCTTCGGGAAGCGTTTTATAAATTACTTCCTTACAATATCCCCATAAGAAGAAATCAAGGGGGTTGAGATCCGGAGATCTTGCGGCCGAGAAACGCGACATGTAACCGTACAAGTTGCGACGTGCGCGTGGCGCGTGATCGACGCAAGATGAGACGAACGATCTTCTTAAATCTTTGCATTACGAATGCGGTAAAAAACATGAAACGTATAATGACGTATTTAAAAAAATTAATTATTTATCATAATTAATAATTATTTCTAATTATAATAAATAATTATTATTTTAAAAAGAATGTATTATACATTATTACGTTTTCGAAATTATTGCATTTACGATGCGAAGGTTTCAGTCAATCGCAAGATCGCAAGAATAATGTAATTAATAAATTACATTTGGGAAAATTTATTTTTATTCTGCTCAAATCAGATGTTCCAATGTTAAAATGTATTGGACGCTCTGAAAAGAGCGGATTGATCAAAAAAAAATTTTAGAGCAGATTCTCGAAATGCCCGCCATCCATCCTAATGCAAGCTCTTATGCGTTTTAATAAATTTCTTTCGACGTTCTCCATTACTTCTTCGTCGATATCCCAAATAGCATGTTGTAATCTTGTCTCTAGCTCTTCGGTATCTTCGGGAAGCGTTTTATAAATTACTTCCTTACAATATCCCCATAAGAAGAAATCAAGGGGGTTGAGATCCGGAGATCTTGCGGGCTAACGTATCGGGCCGTACCGACCCATCCAGCGTCCGGGAAAATGCTTGTTTAAGTAATTCGTAACGATCCTGGCGTTGTGCGGCCCAGCGCCGTCTCGTTGAAAGACAATCTCGCTTCTTTCAAATAATGGCACATCTTCTAGAAAATCTGGTAGATTTTCTGTTAAAAAATCGACGTAAGTTCTTCCAGTTAAAATATCTGGAAGAATAACTGGACCAAGTATTTCAGTGCCCATTATTCCAGCCCACACATTAATCTTCCAACGAGTTTGAAAATTTCGAAGTCGCGTGGCTCTGGGATTTTCCTCGCTCCAAAAGTGCATATTATGCACATTAAAAATTCCTTCCTGTGTGAATAGCGATTCATCGCTGAATATCACACGAGAGGAATATCTAGGATCTCGATCGATGTTTCGCAGAAAATTTTCGCAAAACGTTCGTCTTGCGGGATAATCTGCTGGTTGTAAATGTTGCACGCGTGTATAATGAAACGCGTGCAACTTTTCTTCTTTTAATATTCTTTGTACGGTTGTACAAGATAAATCATATTCTCGAGCAACTACCCGAATACTCGTTTCGGGATTATCCTCGAAAGCACGTACGACTCTCTCCGTGTTCCGTACATTTCTAACGTAGCGATCTCTCCCAGTGTCGTGTTTGTTCGGCAGGACACTGCCAATATCGTAAAGTCTTTGAGCTGCTGCAAGTATCACGTGACCCGATGGATGTCTTCGGGTTGGATACAATTCGGCGTATCTTCTTGCAGCATGGTTCTGCTGCCCGTGGCACTCGCCAAGTGCCATCAGCATGTCGTAGTATTCTTGACTTGTGTACGCTGCCATATCTTCTTCGCGCTTATTGATAATCGCTGGTAATCGTAGGTTTATTGATTGCAGTATCCATCGTGCATCTAATTTATACGATCCTCGCGGGGGGTCGATGCCCCCTCCGCGCCTCCCGCAACGAATAGCGGGTGTCGTGTGTCGCGTGTCATTACCCGAATTGCGTTAGGGACCAGAGCTCCCGCGCCGGTAGCACCCAAAATCTGGAGGTCTATCGGCGCGAAATCTTGACTTTCATCTTCCTCTTCAGAGATCACAATGCTGCTTGCTTCCGATTTCTTATTCTTATTCTTACCGGTGCCCTTCTTTGTGATTTTTGTGTTCTTCCTTTTGCTCCTTCTAATCTCAGTTTCTGAGCTTATTTCAGCTTCTGTGGACATCTGGGTAGAAGAAGTATCTCTGGTCCATTTGTCCAGATCAATCGTAACCAATTCTTGTAGTCTCTTCTTACTCGTTCTTGTTTTCCTGCGTGAGACAGATATAGCCTACTCTACTCTTGTATTATCCGCCTCTCTGTCATCATCACTAGTGATTATCTCTGGTGAGATTCCGGCCTTTCGTTTTGTCCCAGGGATATTACTAGGGGTTTCCACTATACCTATTTCAGTGTTCTCGGCTTCTAATCCCTGAGATTCGTCCGTTATGTTAGAAATAGGATAATCCACCAAGACCATTTCTAGAGGGTCCGTAGGGTTCACTACTCCTTCGTCAGCGACGGTAGCCAATTAAAGCTCCCCGCCCGTCGTCAACAGGGGAGTTGGCCCTTCGTGAGATGAAGACCTGTGGGCTCCAGGGACCGTAGAGCCCACCTGCCTGTCACTGGGGCTCCGACAAAAACCCTGTGGCGGTAAAAAATTTTCCGTCTGTTGTCCTTCCATATTGATAATATTTGGTCGGTTTATTGTTCGGGATGACCTTCCCCTAGGACGGCCGGTTTCACTGCACCTGCGAGCCCGTCCTGCCCGATCCGTATTCTTCTGATTGTTCCCGGAGCTTCCTTGAGATGCCAGGTTATCGAGGGCCGTCTCCGTTGCCATGTCCAACTCCAAGAGAGCCGACGACTTGTTTGCTATTTCGCTGTTAATGTGGGCAATATCCTCCTGCACCATGTTTATTTCAGCCCTGAGAGTGTCTCCAGTCGCTTGATCTGGAGCATGCTCTATTCCAGGTGAAACCGCTGGCATTACATTTGCTCTAGATAGAGCCTCCAATCCAGCATTCGCAATGTCATCCTCTCGTGGGACACTAGGTGAGCGGTAAATAAAAGTGGGCAGGCCCAAACAAGGAGGCCACATCCTCATCTTCCAGATGGTTCAGTCTGTTCTGCGAGGACTTAGAAGTCTCATCATCGCCGTATTGCATTCGGGTAGAGGATTCATTGTCCAGTAAGAGGGAAGATCCGAGGAATCTCACCTCAGAGTGAAGATCCTGTATGTGTTTTTCCTGTTGTTTCATCTTTCCTAAAATATAATTGCGAGCTAGTTCCATCTTGGTAGCAACCAAGAATAACTCTTCCACGCAGGTACCTAGTGTCCTGATAGCAAGACGAATCCTATTTGAAACACAAGGGGTATCATTTTCCATTGAGGTCAATATATTCAAGGCCTTCTCGCGAATCCTTGATGAAGCATGCCCACACATCTTTTCAACGGGCCCTATGCTCGATGACGACGCCGGGGAGTCAGGGACAACAACTCCCACCGTGCCGAACTCTGGGGTATCCGAATTCCCCTGAGTCGGTAATTTCAACCTATTATTGTTTTCCATACATAAATTTTCAAAAGTTTTCAAAAGGGGGCCGGATGTATAACACAACATTAACGGGCCCGGCCGTACCCGGGGGGGGGGGCGTGTGCGCGCGGCCGCGTGCCTCCACAGTACAAAGTCAATTACCTAACTTAAAAGTAAAGCAGTTCGAGTTCATAACTACAGTTGTTCAAGAGCGCATCCGATTTGTTAAAACTCGCCTATTGCTAGGGATAAATCACCAATCTCTTGCCAATAAGCAATAAACGCCGTGATTCAACAGCTATAAGAGCCCAGCTTCTCGCAGTAAAGGAATTCAATTACATTATCAAGTCATTTGTTGCTGATGATTCTTAACTAATATTTAATATTTAATATCTAATATCGTTTCACCGACGTTTCCTTAACCAACATCAATATATTTTATGCCACGAAAGCGTGAAATCTCCTGCCAGGGACAATCCAAAAATAAATCACCAGACATTCATCAAAATCAATCCACCGTATATCCTACTTCATTTCTAATTTCTGAGATTTATACAGGTAAACCATCCACTATTTGCCGCATTCAGCAGTTATAAAAGCCAATTTTTCATGATAATGGAACCCATTAACATTACTAGGGTCTAGTGACTCATTCCGGTCGCCAGGAGTTTCCGGCATTTAATATCAGTTCGCAACGCCATGTTTCCCGTCTATATCGAGTGCATTCTACGTTAAAAGGACACGAAGCCTCTCACCAATGGCAGTCAAGGAACAGATTACCAGTCATTTCCCAGAATCAATCCACCGTATATCATTCTTTGTTTCCAATTCCCGAAGCTTAGATAGGTAAATCATTAATTAAAAGTCAATTTCTCATGACAACGGAATCTAGTGATATTACTAAGATTCAGTGACTCATTCCGACCGCCAGAGGTTCCGTTATTTATTTAGTGTCATTTCATCGACAAGTTTACATCTAGTATAGGATGCATTCTATGTTTATAAGAACTCAAGCATCTTGTCAAATCGCTGACGATAAAGTCAAAAACAACGCGTTTGCTTTGTTCTAGTTAGTTTGAAAACAATAATGATATTATTTAATATAATAACACCCTTTAAAATTTCAGACACTGATAATATCCGGTGATCTCAGCACTCAAAGGTTACTCCACGTAACCCAGAATGCAAGAAGTCACGAAGTCTCCGCCAGTGCACTATGCGCTTAGACACGCCAAAAAACCAGTATACAGCCCGCATGTGCAACACATGCGAGTACTGAGGACGCCGCCATACGCAAAGATAAGCAATAATACAATCAAATAATCAACAAATAAGTATAATAGATGAACAAATAATCAATTGAATCTATTACATCAGGTCAGGTCCTGTCAAATGCCGCAGAGAAGATTCACCGCACTACAATGATTCAATCAAAAAACTCAAGTGCAAGCGGATCAACCGTCCAGGATCCCCACACTCGCATGCCCAGCACGTTAGCTGAAATCGTAGATACATCAAAGCATGCGTACGTACCGAAGAAGGAAGGCCCGCAGTCCCACGTAGCACATCCTAAGTTATTCAAATAGATTCATCATGTATATTGTTATTGGGTAAATAAATAGACACGCATTTATTTGTTTTCTTTTGCTTTTGTTTTACAAATCATCACCAAATCAATCATTTATTCATATCTATAATACGTAAAATGAATCAGATAAAATGCATCAAATACTACTGATCCGTCTATAAATCCCTCTCTCCACTTAATTTCCCAAATAGGCCATCGCACCAGCTTATTCATCTATTTGTGTACTACCGTCAGGGAGGATTCAAAAGAAATAGACATAGACAGTTCACATCAGCAGTAGTTAGACATCCACTTCAAATCAGGACAAACATAAGCCAACAGTAATACGCAGATTAGTAGTTCAAAAAACCAAAATTATAACCATCGGTCACATAGATCTTCGCAAATCAGCAATTATGTATTGTAAATTCGAACTCGCTAATCCCAACTGTCAAAAACCTCATAAAAGTGCTCAGTGGATTCAAATTCAGTAATCTCACTAGATTCACTCTAGTGAAATCTCCACATTATAACTGTCTGTCATTCAATAGCTCAATAATTGTCTGTCATTCAATATACGAACAGACAGGGATGCACCGCAGTAAAAGGTAATCAACTGCAAGATCGCAGAACACTAGTAGGCGCAACACAGCCGAGAAGCTGAGTATCCCGATTGCTGGTCTCAACTATAACTTACGTATTACATACATATTCCATAAGAGCAATTCAACAGGGTACGCAGACGGAGCGTTGACTGCTCAAACTTAATAATTAATAATATAATTATTAAAAACAATCACCAACTAAATATGAGATTTAATTCGATCATAATTACATAATCCTTGCATTCCCGCAAACAGAATGCACAATATAATAATGATATCATAGTAATTCGGTCCTTTAATTCAACGTAACCGATTCCCGTCTAAATTACTCAGCAATTTATTATTGAGAATTTAATCACTAGGATATCAACATACAGCGCAATTGCAACTCCCGATAATACCACTGATTACAATATAACTTTCCTCAGAATAATGGTATCCATTAGAACAGCAGCGAAGCGCATGACAGGATGGCAAAATAAAATAAGATAAGGGAGATCAACTCCATACATGAGGGGGACATCTGCGAAATCATCATGTACCATGCAATATGCAATATGCAATACTCTATAGGTATGCCACTATATAGGACTTCAGCCAATAGAGTAATTTAGGGACACTAATTCCACTCATTGCAATATCTCGCTGGGAACTGAGATATGCAGGTGACGCACATGGGTATTACTAGTGAGATGATATGGCGCAACGCTACAACCCCTCTTGATGAGTCCCATGTATTCCACGTCAGATCCTCAATACACTCAACTCATTTTCTTAGTCATTAAGGACAACCACTCTTCAAGTGCATAGACAATTCATATGAGTTGTACCAACCACAAGTCACAAATACGCCTGTAATACATCAATCCTGGGGACATATATTATTCGTTAATATTAGTGTCACTGCATGACATACAATATGATAAAATGGAAGAACAAAACAGTATTATGGTGGCGCAATGCATACATGTCCGGACACATTACGACTGCATACGTTGAATATACCTCAGTATCAAGACGCAACAATACAATCCTCAAGACCCCGTAAAATCTTGTAGGGATCCAGGTAATGGTCATCCTAACCCCACCTCCACACGTAAGTCATACATTAAGACTTCCACATATCAACTCGAGGCGATCGCCACCAGTAAATTCCTGAGGAGTAAAACACATTTAATTAGAATTAATTCACCTCAGAGCAAGTTTCACAGTCTTAGTATGCAGTATAAAGTACGGCATTATCCTCGTTATATAATTGTTCCCTCATTGCATATTCCGCCTAGGCGATTATATCTTTAAGCACGTTTACTATACACAGTCAGAGCAACTCATATACATTATTAAAGCAGTCTCTACTTTATTAATAAGCTCAGGTGACTTATTAAAATTACTGACAACGATCGCTCGTTACACAACCCATACTGACATTTCCAATATGGCGGAGTTAAGTAAAGGAGACAACTCCGATAACTAAATTATTCACAAAGTATATCAACCAATCGCGTTCAACTATCGATCTCTGTATCATTAGACCATCAATTTAATAATTATTATCAACACTGCGATTTGTGCTCGTGATGAGCCGATCATATATAAGGTTGTAACGCGGTCACCTCGCTCGACGCTCGGATCGGCTCGTCGGGGTCCGGGTTCGAGAGGAGGGGAGACTCAAGCTTACGAGACACGGTGTAGGTAGAAAGAGATAGTTTATTCAGTTAAAGAAAGATAGATACAGCGTGCAGGGTCTGGCGATAGCGTGCGGTGGAGGTTGTCGCTGGTAGCAGGATCTGCGTGACGCGCAGGCACAAAGCGATGGGCGCAAAGCGGTGAGAAGCGCAAGACCAGTGCGGCGTGCAATCGTTCCCGGTTTTATTTACAGGCGCGGACGGCGCGATTAGAACTAGAGCACTTATTACTAACAGGCCTTATAACTAACGGACTTAGTACTAGACAGGGCTTACTCCTAGCAGGTCTTATGACTAGCGGACTTATTACTAGACAGGTCTTATTCCTAGCATGCGGTTATAATTAGCGGATTTAGTATGAACAAGCCTTAAGACTAGGATGTGATTACGACTAGCGGACTTAGTACTAACAGGCCTTATAACTAGCAAGTCTATGACTACGAGACTTAGAACTAGCGGACTTATCCCTATCATGCGATTATATTTACAGCGCGGTCAGTACATGCACTTATTATCTAAGGTTAGGTCAGGCGGCCAGGTATTGCCGGCAGGCTCGAGTGTCACGTCGAGCGCTGCCTAAGCAACGGAAGTCGGTTCAACCCGACGGGGCCAAGTACAACCTTGGCCCGAGGTATAGAGTGCCGGTTCAACCCGGCGGGGCTGAGTACATCTGCCCTAAGAGTTGCTAGGTAGTGGTGAGATCGGTATCATGAGCTGGTCGGGATAGGATCTGGTCCCGATGTCTCGGCCGGCCGGGCTTATATACCCGGCCGGCGGCCCCCACTGTGCGCCGTCGGTCCGGCGGTAGAAGTCGGTACCGCGTGGGGACCCCGCGAGAGCGAGACAGAGCGTGTCGGCGAGCGAGAGCGCATGCTGAGCGAGATAGCGCGTGTCGAGAGGGAGAACGTATGCGTGCGGCAAGCAAGATGGCCGTAGTAACGGTCCTACCGTTACAAGGTAATAAATACACATTAACAGAATAATTCACCGTTTTTGGTTAGCGTTTCAGATATGTTAAGTTAGCAATACCGCATCTCAATTCTAAACCGTAAGGAGATCAAATGATACTTTAACATCTATAACAGCTATACTATTATGTTATAAGTAAGCACAAATGTGCGAGTATAATAATTATAATTACAAAATAATAAGGAAGGCAATTATCAAACAAAATAGAGTAAATGAAACACAAAATCAAATATTATTCAGAGGTCGAGTAAGCCCCCAATATATGTCTCTCATAAAACAGAGAGATCCCCGTATTCTGTATACTGTACTGTCTGCTCCATGCCGACCGGCCAGCCCATCATGGAGAAGACATATCACAAACTTACCTCTATTACCAATTGATAAATCGGCAAATCCGATAAATCCGATAATGAGGGTCCCCCAGGTATGCCAAGATAAAGTACGAAGCCCTTATCAGCCATCAAGGCAGTTAAAAGGTCCTCGATACAGGCAGTAACCGGAATGATCCCGACCAGCCGATCCACGTCAGAGATGACGTCACAAGGCTCGGCATTATTCCAGTCTTCATCAACCACTATTCTTTCAATGGATCACTATAAACATTATGTTGTCACCGGATATTCAGCTCCACACGACATATTTAAAATCCGAGCAATAAGTTCGTAATCATTACACAAATTTACAGCGATACACTACATTATATTCTCGCGAGTTCCACGTCATCCGTAGGCATGCACATGCTCGTATGACTGCCATTACATGCTCCATTATCTCCGAGTATTCTCCGAGTATTCTGTGTCTAATAATTCCTCGAAAATCATTGTCACTTCAACAATTCATATGCCCGTCGATGCAGAGCCGTTTCCGGAGTAACTTAAACGTTAAATAAACGTCAGGAGATGCTCCTAAACACTATAAACGATACTTGTACACGGAGCACACGCCAAACACGTCCACACGCGGCCGCGACCACAGCCCAACCTCCCACAAAAATGTTAAGCTATTACTTGGCCCCCCTCTGTTCGCCAGGGGCCCCGAGCTCAAATATGGTGCCATCCCTGTTTTGTGACAGGGCGCCCATTTCTCCTCAGTCTGCCTCCGATTATTTATAGTGGGGTGAGACAGACCCACACTAGGCGGACGCCTGTGGTGGCCATCAGGCCGCTGCCCGCAACGAGTCCCCCGTAGGGCTCCCTACCCCGGCGAAACGGGGGAAAGAGGGCGACCCCGGCTGGCCAGACCGGAAAGCCATACTCGCGCAGGTGCGCACCCTCCGACCGTCAGGCCACACCATTTAACAAGAATGTTCACCATGCTGAAACATCCCTGCACCGGCTACCTCCGAGTTTTTATACAAGTGGTAAGGTAGACCCCTGTTTGTAGGATGTGTGACTTAGGGCACCCAAGGCGCGAAGACTCGAGGGTGTGATTCCCCAAGCCATTCATCGTTCCTACAACGTGTCCCTGCCTCCGCGTTTTTATCCGAGGGGGAAGGCAGACCCCTGAGGGTCGGATGTGTTGCATCGGGACCAGGGTTCTTCAGCAACACATCCTCCTCATACCACCGGTAACCAACGAGTTTATACAGGGAGGTCAGCCCTGTCTTCTGCTCTGCATGTTTCCCTTTCGGGAACCACACAGCGCAGAAGTCCTACCCGGATGCCCATATACATGATGGGGATAACTAAGCCCTAACCGCTTCCGATTTTACAGGGTGAAGCGGGCCCCTGTTTGGTTGACGTGTGATTTTGTGACCGAAGTCCCTCCATCACCCGCCCACCGTGGGAATGTTTGCCATTCTGCAATACATTCCCAGCCCGATACCTCCGAGTTTTTATACGAGGGGGAAGGCATACCCCTGTTCGAGGATGTGTGGCTTAGGGCACCCAAGGCGCGAAGACTCGAGAGTGTGATTCCCTAAGACCTCCATCGTCCCTACACCGTGTCCCTACCTCCGCGTTTTTATCCGAGGGGGAAGGCAGACCCCTGGGGGTCGGATGTGTTGCATCGGGATTAAGATCTTTCAACAACACATCCTCCTCATACCACCGATGACCAACGAGTTTATACAGGGAGGTCAGCCCTGTCTTCTGTTCTGCATGTTTCCCTTTCGGGAACCACACAGCGCAGAAGTCCTACCCGGATCCCCATATACATGATGGGGATAACTAAGCCCTAGCCGCTTCCGATTTTACAGGGCGAAGCGGACCCCTGTTTGGTCAGCATGCGGTTTCAAGACCGAAGTTCATTCATCGCATGCCTCCCCTGAAGGTGTATTGCCATGCCGCAATAACACCCTCAGCCAGCTGCCTCCGAGTTTTTATACGAGGGGGAAGGCAGACCTCTGTTTGTAGGATGTCTGGCTTTGGGGCACAAGGCGCGAAGACTCGAATATAACTCCCCTTCCGCCATTCATCGTCCCTACGCCGTGTCCCCGACTCCGCGTTTTTATCCGAGGGGGAAGGCAGACCCCTGGAGGTCAGATGTGATTGCATCTGGACCAGGGTCCTTCCGCAATACATCCTCCTCTTGACACCGAAGCCGACGAGAGGGTGGCCAGCCCAATGTTCTGCTCTGAATGTCTCCCCTAGAGGAACCACGCAGCGCAGAACTCCTACCCGAGCCCCTCCTCGAGGGGCAACAGCTACCCTAAGCAGAGAAACAGCTGCTCCCGGAGGGCTCGTCCAGCCGAAGCCAAACTCCCTCCAAGACGCCGCTCACCGTTAACGCTCTCCTGAAGGGAGAGCATTCAGGCTATTGACGTTCAGATTTGGGACTTGAGCCAAGCTATGGGTCCCTCTTCCTCCAGTCAGCCGTCCCAGGGAGTTGATCGTCCTGGGTTTGTGCACTAGCACACGCGAGGACCTCCCTGGAGCCCCCGAACCCTCCCCCGGCCGTGCGCAGGCTTAAGGACATTCCTGCCCCCGGTCTACTAATCGGGCGTTCGCCCGGTTTTCAACCGTGACTTCCGCACCCGTAGGAAGAGCCCAGCAACCCCAACAAGGCCCTTTCCTATCCCCAGACCCCAAAAACCCACCCTTACCTTTAAAACGCGCGGGTGTGCTCTTAGCACCCTTCCACTCTTCTAAGAGGAGCTTCAGGGTGAGCCCTCTCACCACGGCAAGGCACACCATCGAGAGGGATCTTGAAGCCGGGGACCAACCATGAGGACCGGGCAGAGCAGGGGACTATCTACGCGAGCCGAGAACCCTTGGAGCCTGAAAAAATCGTCCAGAAGGACGGTAAGACGCGAGGTGTCTGAGAGACACCGAGTAGAGAAAGCGTGCAAATGCGTGCAAAAAAAGGGCAAGGCACAGAAAGCAAGGCGCATGAGAAAGTTGCCGTTCCGCATAAGCCCGAATATAGCGCCAACGATGAAGCGTAAACGTATAAATATTATGTACAGGATATATAGGCTAAGATTAACATATTGGTTCGTTGTACATACACTGGAAACGTTGCGAACAACGTATTCGCTTATTAGCTTGCACGAAAGCTTGAGTATTTTATATAAGCGGAATGTAAATAAAGCGCGCATAGAGTTTAAGAATCGAGTCTCAGAACGAACCAAATTTGTAAAATAAATACGACAAACATGATTGTATAAAGTTTAAACGAAAATGCAGCAATCAAGGAACTGCACTTAAAGTGCAGCGCATCTGCACTTTTTAACACATAGTATAGATTATAGCAGAGTATAGATATTTAGTCTTAAGACAACCTGTACAGTTAGATATACTTAATTTTAAGGAAAAAGCGATCC